TTTTTTTTGAAATTTGTCTCATCGATTCGGTTTTACGGTTTCAGGAATCCCTCCGGATCAGCAGAGGTTGATATTCGCCGGAAAACAGCTTGAAGATGGTCGCACTTTGGCTGATTACAACATCCAGAAAGGTAAATTTCTATTTCTGATTTTGAATTTGTATGTGTTTCTTTGGATTCTCTTAGTGTAATTGGGTTTCATTGTTTAGCTATGGGTTTTGGTTTGTGAACAGAATCGACTCTGCATCTTGTTCTGAGGCTAAGAGGAGGTATCATTGAGCCTTCTTTGATGATGTTGGCTCGTAAGTACAATCAAGACAAGATGATCTGCCGCAAGTAAGTTTATGAATCAACCTCTGTCTGAAACTGAAACCTTATCAATCTTGTTTTCGGAATGTACAATGTTTGATGAATATATATATAACTTAGTATTGAGTAATTAACTTAGCTTCAAATGTAACTTTACTTCTACATTCTGTGTCATGTCATTTTTCTTTGTGAATTGTAATGTGTAGTTTGCAAAATGTGTTGTCCATTTTGTTGTCGGTGTCAATTAGTGCAGTCGCTTGTATCTTGAGAGCATTAACACCAATTATTCTGTGCTAATTCCAATCCATTGTTAGACGTAGGCTTAAGTTGTTCGTATAATTCGAATCTGTGGATAAAGTGTAGTGTGTATTGGTGTGACCTAAGGCTTGTGTGAGATTGTGTCTCATGTTGAGTAACTTGTTGATTTAGGTGTTACGCTCGTCTGCACCCAAGGGCTGTGAATTGCAGGAAGAAGAAATGTGGACACAGCAACCAGGTTGGTTTAGTTTCAGTCTCTTTGATTGTTTCTTTTATGGTTTTTTCTTTAAGTTTGTGTGAGATGGATTGTAATTGACTTGTGGTTTTTCTGATTCTTTTGCAGTTGAGGCCAAAGAAGAAGATCAAGTGATCTGTTTTCATCAAGAAGCTCAATTTATGTTATATTTTTGTTGTTTAATTTTCTCTTGAAAGACAATATCTCTAGTGTTATGTCACAAACTTGTTTTCAGTGAATTTTGATGTTTAAAGAGTAAAACTGATTCTTGGCTTTTTTATAAATTCCAAAATCTCTGTTATGTTTCTTTGATTTATAGTTTTGCCAGTTGAATCATCATTCTGTTAAATGTGTCATTAACTTAAAAAGATATTTAGTATTGAAACCAAGTTAAAAGATTTATTAAAAACACATTCTTGATGTTTTTTGCTTTCTAAAGTTATCTTTGTTGAGTGGCAGAGTGGTACAAGAGTCCATAAACTAGTAGTAGAGATGCACAAATCAAAGCGGTCATAAGAACAAATCTCTCAATAGCTACTGAAGATTATAAAGAGAGAAAATGCTAAAACTAAAGAGCTCCATCATTCATTTGCGAAGGACTCTCCATGCTCCAAGTAGTTTGTGTTCCATTGTTTTTTTTGTATTTTTGGTCAAACTAAAATTTCATTGCTTAGAGAGCTTCAAACTCTATTACAAGAGTATGAGTTACAACTAAACTAATAAAAAGTACACAAAAGCAAGGCAAGAAGTGCTAAATAAACCACCAAATGATGGTTAAACTAGAGATAAATTCATAAAGATATGCCATAAGCTAGAACGATCTTGTGAGCTTCTTGAATAACCGCATCCATTGCAACCCGAACGGTTACAAGCACTCCACCAAAGGTAGAGAAGATCATCAACCGGGAGAAAGATCCTTGCAAAAGCAATGAAAATTGAATAACCAAATCACACCACATAGGAGGATTTATTGGTTTTGATAGCTCCATCATCTTCATTCCTTCAAAAGTGGGTTTCGATAACACAAACACTCCATAATTGTATCCTGAAGAAATACAGTACAACATCCAGCTAGATTTCCACGCTTCCGACTCCCTATTGAGGAAATCAGAAGATTTTTACAGCACTTGCAGGCAGGGGAAGTGTTCTGGTACCTCCATCCCTGGAAATTGCGCAAAGTGTGACTCGAGACATGCCATCTCAATCGTACATTTCTAGGGGTGATCCGAGTTGGTTAGCAGGTTTCTTGAACGCAGAGAGACGATGGTAATACCTTAGACAGTCCTCGTGAAACAGAGCATAGTTTGATGACAAAGCTCCTCTG